ACCTGTTAAACTTTTATTCTGTCTCCGTGGTGTTCTGCATCTTGGGCCTCTCAGTAACCCATCATGACACACTGGACAAGATGCTTAAAAAAAGACAACATAAACAGATACAAATGGCATCAGTTGTGTCATGCTTTTATTTAAAAATCTGACCCACATATAGAAAACCAATCAGAGAGACCAGGGAAGGTTTAAAAGGTTTATTGAGAACTGGTAGGAATGGGTCCAGTGCTGCTCTGAACAATGGCAAACTGGGACTGAAAAGAGAAGGGGAAGTTCCTGTGGTTAGTTCAGGCTCAGTGGGAAATTTGAGCTTCGATTTGCAAAAGGGAGTAAAGGCAACAGGGCTCATGTTTCCAGAAAAGGTGTCTTTCTTTGAATCCAGTCAGTGTGGGTTGTTCCAGAAATTGGTTTGCTCGTTGGAGGGTGGACATGGTTTACCCAGGTTAAGTTGTTTCCTTGAGGAATGGAGGAGCTGACTGCCACTTAGATTTCCTTCGGTACTTGAACGGATCTTGTGGAGAAAAATCCCCTGCTCAGTGTGAAGCTCAAACAATCCCTTGGTAAAAACTAGATCCAAGCCTCCAGTTTGAATCCCCAGCTCAATTTGAAGCTCAGACAATCCTTCCAGGGGGAGAAGGTCCAAAACATCCAGTTTGCAGGATGACTTCCTGCCGAGAGGCAAAGACAAAAACAACAGGATTAAGACTCAGGTTGACAAAAAACTCAGTTTGACTCAGCAAAACTCAGCTTAGCTAGTGTACCCAAAACTGGCAACCACTCTGGCGTCGAGGTAGTGGTCGTCAGCAGCTTAAGAGTCCTCAGGTAATGAGGCAAACATCCGCAGGCAGTAAGAAGGACCAACGAGAACCAGGCACCACCTGGTGGTGGAGGGAAAACAAACAAAAACACAACCCACACAGACTGGATTCCTAACAAGTTGCTTGTTTTTGGTTCGATCTGCTACTATAATATTAATGCAGATAGAACCTATAGTTAGTATTCAAGGTCCTGTACAATCTTTACCAATCTCACATTTATAAGACAGATATTGAGTGAGTGGATGCAGAGGGCAATTTTAAGTACAGCCACAGGGCACAGCTTGGGAAATACTCAGACAGTAGTTGACGAAACTGGAATTCAGCCTTTATTGCGGGAATCACTGAGGTCAGAAATCTTCTTGCATTGCAGCCAGGCTCCCCTACAGTTTTGTGGGGCCTCCTCGCTCATAACTCAGTTCAGCTGTTTGGTTTCTCTGGAGACAGCTCTTAGATCAGCCCAGGAGCCATTCGGTTCCTGCAGAGAGGAGTCAAGATGAAAATAATGTGATTTTAGTGAACATCGAACCACACAGGGAAACTCTCAAGAAACCTGGCGGAGACTGACCTCAAGGGCAACTCCACGGCATGAGAAATGTAATATGACAAATGGGAGTGGGATTTGGGCTATTAGATGCTAACATTTCACAATTTTAACTAAAGCAAGTAGCAGTACAGCTTCTAGCTTAGACATTTTGTTCTTTTTTAAAGTCAAATTTGACCTGAAAAATATAACAGTATTTTAAGGAAAAAAAAGTGTGAATGAAAAAAAGTTGTTTATTTAGGGCTAATGTCTTTAATCAAACATCAAAGCTACACACTTATGGGATCTTTTTTTTCTGGGTTGTTATCTGCCTAATTGTTTGCACTATCTTGCATGTGAAACTAAACAGACTTTTTTTTGCCTAGTTTACGCCTCTCCTTTAAAGCTGTCCAGCACCATGCAGCCCAGTTTTACAAAATGCATACCAGAAATACCACTTTACAGCATAAAAATAGCAAGTGTTTCATTGCAAACACAGCTCATTCTCAGGGCACAACCTTGTGAACAGAAAAAAACAAGCCTAGTTGTACTGTCATGTTCGCTGTTGAGATCCACTTGTTGATTAACACACGTAGTAAATCATAGAGTTGAAGCTTTTATGGTAGATTTAAGATTCATAGCCTTGTTGAAGCACTTGAACTTAAAAGGTGTTTTTGTAAGGCTGAGTTTTAGCTGAGGACAAGCAAAGGAAGGGTGTCAACGCTGCAGTTCAAGTGGAGCTTTCCAGATGTTATGCAAAGGATGTGAGTTAATTCCTCTGAAGTCCCAGACCTGCTGTCTCTCTCATGACACAAAGCAAACCCGCTGTCAGCCAGATGTAAAGTTCTATCAGGCGTGAGAACATTTGCAAGTTTTCCAAAGGACTTTATATCAGGATTTAAACTATAGCTCTATCTGTTCTATATCTGGAGCCAAGATGGTAGTTAGAGAAGGTGCACCCCATCCACTACATAGAAATGTCCTAGATGCACTCTTGGTTTGATTGTGCAAACCATGTCTACAGTGGATTTGAAAAAAACACTTATACGGTACTTTTTCTTGTGACTACATGTACTCTAATAGGGTTTTATGTGCCAATGAAAAATGTGAAATACTGTTAATACAGCTCCAGTTTGTTTGATATATATCCCTAAAAATATTTTTGCTCATTCCTTTTTGAAAAGATACATCATCCCTGAAGGATCCGAAATGTGGGCGCATTTTAGTTTTCACTTCCTTTTACATATATTTAGATATATACATCTGTGTATTTAGATATATATATACATATTTATATACATATATATTACATAGATTTAGGTGCAGATCTTGACAGATTAAAAACATTTTTCCATCACCTTGTAGTGATCTATGTCATAGTGTTTTTTTTTTGTTTTGTTTTTTTTCTGCAGTCACTAATGCCTTTTCTCCAGGGTTGTCCTGTTTTCCTATCAGTTATGACCAGCTTCCCTGTTACAGCTGAAGAAATGCATCCCCTCAGCATGAATCCAACACCACCATATTTCCAAGGGTATGATGATTTTTTGCCTGTGATGTTAAGAGTCATTCCTCTTCAACAGGTTGTGTTTATCATGACTAAAAGTTTTAGCTTTGGTCTAATCAAAGAGCAACTTCTTCCTTCTTCTGCCAAACAGATTAAGGAAAACTACAGTAAATACATTGTTACCTAGCAAGATATTAATAACTTCTAGCAATTCAAAGAGGCCCTAAATGATTTGTTGTATTTAGTTGTGCATCAGCTAAAATTCAGATGAGAGAAATGGCGGAAGATGTCTGGGAAAAAAGGACTCAGAGGTGAAGATCCGCCCTGTTCCCTGCAGTTGTCCAAACAAAGACATGGGGAAGCCTTGTTGACTTTCAAGCAGTGCACCTGTAAGTCAATCCATAGCAGATGTGCCTTTTGGCTTTCAGGATGTGAACACAAAACACTCCACCTCATGAACAGCTAATCAAATCAAATACAGATGGATGAAAGCAGAGAATAAAGGTTATTTATTTATTCTTATACCTTTAGAGGTTATATTAGCTGAATGAGTCACCATCTCAATCTGGTCCACCAGGGTCTTCTTGCAGGTATGCTTTTGACATGTAAAGCAATAAAATACAGAATATGCAGAACATGATTAATATAAATTAATTATAGTTTGCAGCTGGTTACATTGTGATTTGCAGGAATGCAGCACTGATTGTGGCAGCACAAGAGAAACAATGATCCTATCAGGTTGACAGTGCATGGTACATTTAGTTATTTCCTGAATGATATTGTTTGCTTTTAGGCCTAGTTATTTTATATATATTGTTTACATCTTTTCACTTGATGTTATTTCCAGCAGACGCATCGGAAATGCGCTTTGCCATGTTTACGCTTCTCTCCATTTAGATGCTGTTGTATTTTTGGACATCTAAAGCAGAGGTTTGCCTTTAAACCTCTCGATTCTTGAAGTGCATTTAATGTTTGTTACAGAGGAGGAACAAAATTTAAAATCCAGCCCATTGATAAAACAGGTTACTCTAAGGAAGTTAGAAAAGTGGCCTGGGCTGATCAACACTCAACAGGGTAACTGATTGCAAAATATACTATTTTAGCTGCAAAACCTAAGATTTTTTTTTTTCCAATAAAGTTTAGATTGTTACAATTTCTCTTGGCAGTAAACTGAGCAGATGTTTTCTTCATTTGAATTCCCCCCCCCCATGCATCATTTTTGCTTGGTTTTTATGACACCTGTCCCGCTTGCAGACATTATCCACAAAATACACCCCGAGTAATAGATCGAAGAGAACAGTGTCAAACTAATAAATCTGATTTACGATTAAGTTGAGGCATAAGTGGATGTAGGTAGAAAGCTGAAAAATTGTTCTGCACCAAAGGAACAACTGCTGTGTATTTTAAAATTAAGACCTGCCATCTTTAAACAGTATTTCCTCAGTTAACTTGAGCTGGATTCAAATATAAAAAATTCTAATATTGCACCACATTTAATGACAAACTAAATCCTTTGGTTCCAAATATAACCAGTCAAGTAGAAACCTATGGATGAAGGATCCGTTTACAATAAATGGTGCAAATAAGGACACATTTCTGTAACCTGAAGAAAGCTTCCATTTGACTAGATATTTTATATGCGTCGAGGCATGGAAAAACCAATTCCCTAAAGCAACTTTAGCACATTGACCTTTGCTAGCAGAGCTCTGTTGCATCCCTATTCATGTGGCCTCTTCCCAGGGGTCATGTCCTCCATGGCTTCCAGCTCCATTGTCCAAAACGGGACGCTGGCCCAGTATTCCAGGTTAAGCTGTTTTGGTCATCAAGTTCAATTAGCACCATCAGTTGCCTTTCCTGCCATGGAAAACTGCATCCCTCAAATCCTGCACAAAACACAGCCAATAGGGTGGGGACTTCCAAAAGGGGAGCTGCAATGGGAAATGTTCAGCCTTTCCAAAAAGGGGGAAAACATTTCCTCTAATGCACTCATTACATTCCTTTGAATCCAAGTCGGGTGGACTGAAAAAATTGCTTTGACCTTAAAAGGACACTTAGATACTGCAAGTCAAAATGCTGCCTTTAGATTAAAAATTCTAAATCGAGAAACAGATTTTAAAATGACACCCGATAAAAAAAAAAGGCTCAGACTCTGGCATCAATTTGACAAAAGCTTAATTCTTTTATTCACAAACCACCACAACATTTCCAAACGAAACCCAAAAAGGGAATCAAATTTGGGGCAACAAGGTACAAAAAAAAAAAAAAAGCAGGCTTTGGAAAACAGCGTGTAAAGAGAGCAGAACACGTCATTCTTTGGGAGCATGCTCATTAAACTGAGCTGGTCATCAAGGAAAAGGTCACTCCTTTACATACGTCCTCACTGCCACCACGTCTCCCATAATGCATTTCTGTAGAGAAAAAGCAGAAGCATCAAGAGTCGAGTCTAGAGACTACAAGACAGAAGCATTAATTCAAGGTAGAAGAAACCCCACGCTAGACCAGCACAGCTGATGGTAGAAAGGAGCGAAGGATGACAATTCAGTGGTTTACCCTTTAAGAAAATCCCATTATAAAAAGTCAAAGGGCATAATGAGTAAGCAGTTCAAAGTAGTTTGATGATTTTTAATCTTAAAAAAAAAAAAAAAAAACACACAACCCAACCCCAAATTACATGCACAAAAATAAAAATGGATAAAAATCAATATGGCTACTCAGGCACCATTCTAATGTTTCCACCTCTGGAAATCCCTTAAGCAACCCCAGGGAAAAATAATTCCTGGAGCCGCCACTGCTGCCCCTGCAAAGTTTCCTAGATGCATTTCCACAATATCCATAGCCAGGAATTTGAGATTTACCAAAAGCAGAGGGGAAGAAAAAATAAATCCTTACCGCAACCAGTTTTCCATCAGAGATCTCCCTCTCAATACTGGTCTCTTTGCCATCCCAGCTCTGTTTCTGGATTAGTTTACCATTATCCAGACTGACCACACTCTGCAGGACAGACAATTAAACTCCCACAATTAACAGCTTTTCCACGTGCAAACCTTGCAGTTCATAATTAAAGAAACCCAAACCTTAGTCTTTCGGTCATCAGCAGTTGTCTCATCAAAAGGCTCATTGAGCTTGAACTTGACCTCAGTGGTTTTAAAGGCGCTCTGAGACTTCATGCAGATCATCCCCTGATCATCCACGCTCATTATGAAGTTGGGTTTGGTTCGGTTCCCCACCTGCCTGGTGGCAAAACCCACTCCTGTAGCGCAGGAACAAAGAAAACAAAATAAATAAATACTTTTAAATCAAAATGAGCTACTTTAAATTATTTGCATCTGAGCATGCTTACCCAGTGCCTTCATGTAATCATCAAAATTCTCGCTGGAAATCATCTTCCATGTTCCTACAAACTTGTCAACCATGGTTGCGGTCTTCAGTAGTTCTTTTTTTCCTCCCCTAAAATCCACGCAGTGTTTAGTTAGACTGTGGATGCTCGCTTTTAAAGAGCCAGATCGCTTTTTTTATAAACAGCCATGGAGCCAATCACAGCCCTCTGAGTCACAAATTTAAATAATTGAAATCCCGCCTCCAATAATCCGACTTTACTCACTATCTGGCTTTTTACATCAGTGTTTCTCATATTTGCATGTTTTAACGCACCCTGCTGTTTATGAACTGTATTTTAAAAGGGTCTATATATATATATATATAAATAAATCAAAATGACTTATATTGTGTAGGGATTCAATAGTATGCAGCATAAATTCATCAGATGAATTGAACTGAACCACACCTAATCAGCGCAATCACACTTCACCATGACAAGAATATCACAGTACCTTATCTCTAATATCAGGATATAGATTTAGGTTCAAATTAAACAGACTGTTGCATATCACAGCAGAGTGACTATTTTGTCCTATTGTGAGCCTTAGATACGGGATGGTATTGACCAGGTAAATCAGCAGCATTACGGGCGTCTAAAAGATCTCTGGATGTCATACTATGAAGTCCACTATTGGAGTGGAGTACTTAAGGTCATTTTATTTTGTAACACCAAATATTTGTTCTTTATCTTGCACAAAAAGGATTCACCTAAGATTCTTTGTTCAATCAAATTTCCCCCTCCATTTTTGGCATAAAATTGGTCAATACTGAAATGTTCACTACTTTTGCACCCAAATGTCAGAGTGAAATGAATAATATAGAACATGTAAAAACAGGAATTGATGGATGGACAAGTAAACAAATGATGCATATGCAAATGTAAAACAATAAATGCATGGATGGATGAACAAACCTGCAAACAAATCAGGGGGAGAGACACAGCGAAGAGTGGAAAAACACACTTGTATTTGTTGTGTTGTTCTTTCAAATGGAGAGACTTAAAAAAAAAAAAAAAAATCCAATTCCAAAACAAGGGTGGTCTCTTATTTAAGATCTTTATCTCAACAATATGATTTGAACGTAGAAAAAAAGGATGTCTGAGGTATAACTTTGTATAAACGGACTTAAGTGAATAAACCAAAAAACAACCATAGTCAAACATATTTTATTGTGCACATCCAATGTTTTTACACATATAAATACAAACAAGCGGAAAACAGTCGGTCACTTCTTGACTCCAGCAAGGGTCTGTGGGTCCTTGTCTTTACAGCGGGACTGAAACGCATTCAGCATCTCGCTGCAGGTCAACCTCCCCCCCTTCATCACCAGCCTCTCTCCGTCCACTGTGGCAACAAACAACAAAAAAAACAGAAAGAACAATGAGAGGACTCAAAAGAGGATGTGCTGTGAGGAGAGTCCAATCCAGGGAAAGTTAACTCTGAGCAAATGTCAAAAAAACAAAATAGACGCTCATGGGTTCTATGAAAACTGGTGGTAAACATTTGGGAGCTGACTACCTACCTAACATCCAATCTAACCATCAGGAACTAAATGGGATAAAAAGTGGATGTTTGAATAGAGCAACTTTGTTTCTACCTACAGCTGCTAAACTCAACTTATTTGATTCTACCTTATTTGTTCTGACTGAATTATCCTTTAAATAATCTGATCTGAACAGGAGGGACAGTGAACTTTGATGTTGCAAAGATGTTTTTGTATGAAGTTCATTAACACATCTAAATACATTTTGACAAAAATTATTAAAGAGACTAAAGGAACCCTGGGAAACTAGCAGAGCCAAATCTTTGGCAGAGTTCAGATCTTCCCCCATGACGTCCCCTAGTGCCCAAGAGTGTAACATTACCTAAAACATCAGGGATTTCATTTTAACTCATTTTTTTTTGGATCTGCAGCTGTCAGGGTGTGCATCACAATGCCTGTTTTCTTTTTTTTTTCTTCTCCTTCTTCTTCTTTTTTTCTCTATTACAAAGCACAAATACCAGCAGCCCATTTCTTACCATAAGTCACATCGATCACTGGTTCCGACTTGTCGTGTTTCACCACAGGTATCACCTCACAGTTCATGTTGGTGGAGCGGGCCTTTTCTGAACCCACCAAAGCCAGAAACTCTCTGAAAAGACAAACAGAGGGTGAAAGGATTCTAAGGATTTGATGCACTGTTGTCTGATGTATGAGCTGCTCCTAACCCAGCAGCCCTGCCACACTGCCTCCTCTGGATTGGAGACTAATTCTGGATTAATCCTTGTGAAATATTTCAGGTTTACCACAGACCTGCACAACATATAACTATCATCACTGTGATCTCAATGTAAGCAAAGCTGCAATTACCTAAATAGCCTATGTGTAATATTATATTTGCATCCACTCATCGATAAAACTCAAGATAGCGGTTTACAGGGATGCTTAATATAGAGCATCAAGCTCTACAGTCTGTATGCAATGACCTTTTAAAAATGCTGTGGTATAGATACACATATTTATACTAGTTAATTTATATACATATTTATTTATGTCCCATATATTTTAACCTTTTTATACACTCAAAGATATTACATTTAAATAAACAATTTAATTATTACTAATATTATTATTGTGATGATTGCTATTATTTTGATTATCAATAGTAGTATTTGGACTATTATCATTATCCATACTTCAACACTGTGTTTGGTGCCCTATTTTAAAAGTTTTAACAGCTATTTTTAAAGTTTTTTTTCTTCATTTAATTGTTTTCTTGCTCTTTGTTTATTAAGTTTATATAGAGTGCTGTTATTTAGAGTATGAGTAATTGTGTCTGTGGGTGCTGTGTTGTTGTTTCTACAATAACCTTTTCCCAGAGATACCAAGAATGTCAGTTAAAAGCCATAGAGTTCAAACATTGTAATAATAATGCTTTGGTCCTGATGAAAGAATTTAATATTTAAGCTGAGTAATTGAATGATAATCTTCAAGCGATTAGAATCAAACCATCAGTTTGAGCTTAAATGTGCTGAAAACTAAGCAGACATTATTTATGTTTTAGTCCATGAATGAGGGCAGTACTTTAACTAAAAGAAACTGATCGTAAAAACATTAAATAAACATTATTTCATTATCATAATATGTATTTAAAAAGGATTTAATCTCATTCAAGTTTTGGACTCCGAATACAAGCCTGGCATTTCCTGGAAAGCAGTGCTGAAGTTTTCACTGATGTCTAATCGATTTATTTCTACACGGGTGCTGCAAATTTGAAGTTCTTTTTTTGTTTTTTTTACAAGTTTCTAGATATAGATTAACTAAAAAATTACTTTTACCCTTATTCAATCTTCCAACCTTAAAAAAAAAGGTCATTTATAGTTTATTTGAATATTTTATGAAGGGGATCCTTGATTTTTGAGTTACCACCTTACATCATGAGTTTACAGAAAGTATTAGCATCTAGATTTTTATTCAAACAGGTCAAACTGATCCTACTGGAGATGGCTGGGAGAACACAGATAATAAAACATGTCTGCCAAAATCCCAGCATCAATAAAAACAAATACATGAGGAAAACAACAACAATTGTAAACATGTTAAAAAGCCTTCTATATGACAGACCCCCACAACATTAAATAGCGAAATGGCAGAATGTTAACCTTATCAATAAAATAACCAAGTACCTTACACAAAATTAAATTATAAACGTTCATATACTTTAAAAGCCAAAAAATCTCCTTTAAAATGAGCTATTATTTGACACTTACTGCTAATTGTTCGCTAACAAACCCATTATTATAAATCTATAGCAAAACAACGACCTTTTAGCACAACAGAAATGTTGAATAGAAGTTTCTCACCGTGTGGAGCGAACATTGGACTCGAAGGGACAAAACTGGACGACTATTTTCTTCACAGACTTTAATAGCAGAGTAGATTTACTGGGAGCCGCCATGTTTTCTGAAATGGTGACCTCTTACCTCAACAGGAAGTGAAGTTCTACTTCTCGGCCGCTAGATGGCGTCAGAGCACAGGGAACTACACAAAGTGAAAACTGGCCTGATTTATTATAATTCAATATAAATCATCACACAAAGTAGTGAAAAAGATTAAAACCAGGTAATATAGCATCATACTAAACGCTGAACATCTCATAAAGCACAATTTCACCAAAATCTACAAATGTAATATAAGAATCGCAGCATTAAAACAAAAAAAAGGGATTATCCACCTTAGACTGCATGATCAATCAAGAGGAGATTTTAATTCTGTATGACTTATTGCATCTATATTGTTTCATTGTAATAATTCAATCAATATAGATAGATGTTTGATTATATCTCGAGTGAACTGTGGTTAATTAATAGGCTATTAATGGGTTTTTAATGCAGGGATTTGTCCTTCGAAGTCTCTCTGTTTGATTTCCATATTATTGCAACACACATTTATCCATCCCTCCCATCCACAGATGCAATTGCCAAAATATGCACATGCCTTTTATATCATTAGAGATAATAGAGGTACTGATTTAGGGTTTTTTTTTGTTTTGTTTTGTTTTACAACTACTTATACCTAGCAGGGCTAATCCATTGAAATCAACCTGCATCTTACATTCTACTTTATAAAAACTTAATCAAACTTAATTTGCGAGACTGAGGAGGAGTCCAGTAGGCACGCAGGCGTGTGCTCTACTGAAGGTTTTACCACCCAGATTTTATTTATTATACTAATTTAAACTCCAGGAGCACAATTTTTAAGTAAACAGTTGCTTTTTTTTTTTTTTTTTTTTTTTAGAAAGAGCTGTAGGGTTCATAACAGATGCAAAAATTGTATAGAAGTCAATATTTTCCAAACTCTTCTTTTATGCTTATTAATACCTGTGAAAAAAATGTAAATAAATTGTCATATTTATGCAACCCTTTTCCTTGATCGTACTATTCCCAGTATTGCTTTGGCTAAAAATACAGATTTAAAACACAAAATTCTACTCATGGAAAAGACAGAATATTGTCCCGAGTTTATGTGCCATAGTCTGTTAAAGAAAAGCCTAGAGGCAACCCGACTGTGGCACTTTGCTGCTATCATCTCCATTTGGCAGAGGCGAATCACATTAGAGGGCAGGCGATGGATGGGGGAGATTGTTTGTGTGTCTGTCAGGAACTAAGTCAATAAAGGAGCCACTGCTCTCCATATAGACAACCATACAGACACATCCTATAATCAAATAGACAAGGAGCAAGCATCGCCTACAAACAGATGGAAAAAAACAATTGTTTTACCCCTTGACACAAATACGATTCTTCCATTTTTGTTCTTTTTCTCCACAGAGTCTTCAATCAGTGTGATCTCTATGACTTAAGAATGACCCTCAGGTGATCAACACTTTTATTTCTCATAAATGATCTCTTTTGATGAGAAACAGGCCAACCTGTCTACCCATTTAACATTCGAAACTGCTGCATTCACACTTCCTAAAAACTCTCCTTGCCATTGCAGGATATTTATAGATGCTCTTGTTTTTCATTGCTTATAAGGAGCAAACATGTTATTCTCAGCAGACCACAGTTCAGCTCAACACAATTCTTCCCGGCTTTAACACGCCTTCCAATCTCTTTCCTGAACGGCCGGCAGTCCGAGCCGGGCTCTGACAGCCGGGACAGTGGGGTACTCTAAATTTAGACATAAGGCTACTGAAAGGCAGAAGCATTTCCTTTACACACCCCACATGCACCACACACATGCACAGAAAGTCGTTGTAGGAAATGTACTCTTTGCACAGGCAGAAAGAAAATGGGGGAGAGGCTGCTGAAAAACAATGAATGCTCGAGGGGATGTTTGACCTGAAAGGAAAACGACTTATTGTCTTGTGTAGAATTTCATCCATCAAGGTCTCTGCCAGGGGTTGAAGATTTAATTCTAAATGAGGCAAATTGTATAGAATTGTAGGGGAGATATGGCTCTACCAGTGAATGAGAAAGGCAAATGAAATAAAACAGAACAACTGAGAATAATACACTGTGTAGTAAGTAATGCATCAAACAGTATTTTGTTGTGATATTCCAGGATAAGAACAGTTGAATGTCTCCCTCATTGTTTTTACTGTAAAATAAAAATACCTCAGCAAGTCTGAGAAGTTTATATTCACACCTTAGGTGAAATCAGGTTTGAATCTAAATAGTAGAGACTAAAGTCATAAGTCCAGGTGGTTCTTATGGAAATGCTGTATCTATACACCAGAGTAGATGCTAAACCAAAGATACTCTGCACAGACTGAAGTACTTTTGCAACTTTGCTGCACTGGCTTCACTATGTTCATCACTGCAGCATCTGTTCCTATTGAATCGTTGGGGATTTTCTGCAGTTTTCACTGCAGTGTCTGTGTCTTTGGAACCGTTGGGGATTTTCTGCAAGGATGCCTCAAAGAAAAAAAATGAATTATATAAAATATCAGCATTCTTTTCTCCAGCCCCTTTAAAGTGTAATTTTAGATGAACCCCATTAATCATAGATCTTATAAATCCATGGAGAAATACCAAAAAGCTCTTCTACTAGCTTCCTGGTTATGTATAAGTCTTTAATATGTAAGCTGCACAAAAAAAAGAAATAAAAATCTCTTCATGTATCTGCAGTGTGCCTTTTGCATTAAGGCTGTGAAAAAATTCAACCACAAACCAGTAAATTTAGGTTAATGTTGAGAAAAACAGTACTTTTTTAAAAGAACTGGTGCACCTTGAGCCCATTTTGTTATGTTTTAACCACAAACCTTTTTGTGCTTTATTTTCATTTTGTGCGGAAGACAAACCTGAAGAAGTAACCAGGAAATAACAAGAGATGGTTTTAAAAAATTCCTCTTAATAATAAATCTGAATCTGCATTCTAACCTTTCTTCTCTGACACCCATCAAATAGGTAAGGAGTTCACCTTAGTACAATAAACAGCAGACAGGCTGAAGAGAACCTAGAAAAAGAAGTAGATAATAAAGGGAGATCTTATAGAGCATTTTTAAAATTACCATTCAAAATGAGACTGTCCAACTGAGCTAACAGGCCAGGCAGGGAGAAGAGAAAGAGGCTAAGACCAGGGAAATTGGATGGAGCTAAATAAAAGGCAATCTTCAAGAAAGCCAGGATGGAGGGCCCGGGATCAACCTTAAGCATGCAGCTGAAGCTGTATGTAAAGTCCATAAAGAGTAGAAAAAATAATATGTGACAAGAAATATAAGAAAATGCAGATTTTTGAGTTTCTAACCCAGTCTGATTAACCTGAGGCATTCAACAAAGAACAATAATCTATCTACATCTAAAAGGTTGGCACATACACCCATAAACCTTGAGCTGCAATTGAAGGAAACAATGGTTTTCAGACGGTGTACGATGCATGGTTTACACAGAGTAGAAATAGCCAAACTTTTCTAAATGTTTTTGCAATTAATTTACATTTTTATTGAAAATCATGCATCCCTTTTCTTTCACTGTAAACTGTCCTTTGTTGGTCTGACACATAAAATATTTCTGAGTGTAAAATACATGTACAACATGTTGAAGATGATTGTCATGGTGTGACATAATGTAGTACCTACTTAAAGAGGTGTTTGTTTCAGCTGTTTATGACAGTGCAGCCCCCATACTGACCCCATCAACTCATAACCCACAGAGGAAATCTGGGAAACCAGATCAGGATCAGATCAGGAACCGGCAGTTTAGATCTGTAAATCATACAGAATTGTAATTTATTAATCATTTGTTTATGAACTTCTTTTCTAAAAGATAAAAAAGGGCCTTTAATATTTGCAACAAATTCAGCAAATATAAAGCTTACGTATCACTGGACATCTATTATAAGCATTCTAATATTTATGATTGGAATGCTTCAATTGTTATTGTGTGATTCCCACTGTACTTTACATTTAAGGAAAAGAAGATCTACCAAAATTAAGATCATTTTAGGAGCTACATCAATTAAATGCTTGGTTATCCAGTTTTTTTTTATTTTCTATTTCCATTACAATGGCATGTGATTACACTGTCGCAAGTACAGAGCAACTAAATTAACTCTCTGCATTTAACCCATCCCCTTGGGGAGCAGTGGGCTGCCTGTGGGCACATTGTGGGGATCAAGGGTCTTGCTCAGTGGGCCAGAGTGGCAATCAGTGGGACTGGGGCTTGAACCTCAAGCACAATGCCCTAACCATTAGTCTGGGGCATAAGTCTTGCCTAAAGACCCACACTGGCAGCCCCCACCTAGGAAACGAACCCAGACTTCCTGTTTACAGGATGGGGGACTTACCATTCCAGCTAGCCAGTTGCTAAGTTGTATCAACAAAAAAGAAAAAAATGAATCCACATCATCATATTCAAGAGATGCCTTTATTTTGAAGTTGACGAGGACCAAGAGGGACCAGGTGATCTATTATTATTTTCTTTTTTTAATAACTAGAGGAAAGCTCTTTTTGGTTGAAATACCCGATGCATGGAATACCTTAGAAATAGAATAGTCAAATCACACATGTTGTTTTTTTGTGAATGAAGTGGATGTAAATTGTATTAGTTATTGATATTGGCATATCTTGTTTACCCAAACAAATCAGTATAAGGTTTTATTGTAATAAAGCTGTTGATTTACACCCACTGTATGAGCTTTGATAAAATATTCTACAATTATTTTCTATGTTTAAATGATGTCTATATATGACTTTATTTAAAGTCTCATTCAGTAAATAAAAATCCATGTGTTCTGATTACACTAACATCTGATTACACTGTCGCAAGTACAGAGCAACTAAACAAACTATCAGGAGGTAAACATATTTTTATTAAGCAGAGACGTCTTGCAGTTGCGCAAATTTCATGTTAGTTGATTTTTAGTTGATCAAACATACTTAATCTTTCTTAAAATCAAGCGATCAATGCATTATTTCAAATAAAATAAAAGATATTTTAATTAAAACAATGTCGTAACAGGCTCAAATAGATACATAAAAATAAATTACTGAATCTAAATATGTATCCTATCAATTTTCAGAGCCATAAACTTGTGGAACTAGAAAGAAACAAATATAGCCGTTATAAGTTTCTGGCTGGATATCTGGCAAACTTACCATTGCAAATAAATTTTAGTTTTTGATTACATCAACTCCATAACCTTATCATCAACCTGCTTCCAAAAAGCAGTTTGGATGTGTCATGCTGTAACATTCAGCTGTGTCTAATTTTAAACAGTTTATCTTACTGATTTGAGGAGAGATAAAGATTGTGTGTTTCTTATTCTCCATTTTTAAACCCCACTTTAGGCCATGTTCCAGTAACACTGTAGCATGATTGACTTAGAGCATGATGCTGCCACCTCTATGCCTAACAGTTGGAACAGTGTTCTGTAATTTTAAAACATCATAAAATGTTTTGTCCCTGTAGTCAAAATGTTCTCTTTTGATCATGTAACATTTGGCCCATCATATTTGGTGATGTGGTTTTTACAAAGGTGTTAAAAGTATTAATGTTTCCTACTCCACTAGAACTATAAATCCTACTGTTTAAAAGCACTTTTCTAGAAGTTAGAGAATCAACTTAAGCTTTTTACTTCAGTGAAAGTGTAAAAGTACAATTCTTAAAACTACTTACAGTATAAAAGTGAAAGTAATGCAGGAAAAAATGCTGAGGAAAGATGCTTTACTTCACTACCCTATTAAAGGAACATTTTATTACAATTCTGGATGACAACTTCCTGCTTAATTTATTTTAGTTCTATAATTAATAGCAACAGTTTCTAATCTAAATAAGTATGTGGCAGACAAGTTGGTGCAGCACTGAGTCCAACCACAAAGAAATTAATTGTCAAGTGAAACTAATTACTTTGATGGTTTTTATCTTATGAATACCATCAGGCCATAACGGAAATGAGCTTAAATTAAACCAAGTTAACAAGTCTATGCTTAAAATCTAAGGAGTAGAAAGAGAAATTTGCAAAAAGATGTAAGGAGTAGAAGTAAAAAAATGTCTGAAAGATAATAGCTACAGTAAAGTATAGATAGTCAAAATTTCTACTTAAGAAAGAAAGCAAAGTATTTGTACTTTGTTACTTGACACCTCTGGATATTTAGACATGCCTGAAGCTGCCATTTTTGAAGCTTCTTCCTTAGCCAGTCCATGGGGATATCAAACTAGGTCTTCCAGTCTAAACCTGTCTGCCCTCAGTGGTTCCATTGTTATTATGTTTTTAATTAATTTCCTTGAATTTTTATTTAAGATGCCCACCCAGCTTGTGGACTGATCAAGGTATTTGGGTTCAGCGACAGGAAGATAGCAAGGCTTTCAAGCTTGGTATAAGTGAAGCATGGTCATGGGCGTAGGTTTGCATAGGGACCATAGGGACATGTCCCTACCAAAATTTTGGCCCAACCTACTTTTCCCTACAAATAATTTTATATGAATAACATGTTTATAGTTTACAATACAGTGTTGTTGCAGCAGTTGCTGTTTTTCTCACAACTTGTATATTGAAGTTAATATTTTAAATGCTAACTGTCAGTTCCTCTTATAGTTCCCGCGCCCATGTAAATACAATAAATATATTTGCAGTCCCTTGAATATTTTATTTTGCTTTGTTTTACAATACAGAGAATATCAGCATATCAGATAAAAAAATAATAGTGGGTTTTACCTCTGTTTACCTCTGCACAATTCTATTTCTTCAAATGAAAACACCAGATAAATACACATACAAAAGGCACCTATTTACCTTCTGTCTTAGTCACTGTTAAGTTCAAATGTAACCCTTTTCAAAGTGTTAAGTTGTCCCAATTTTACATTATTCTGAGCCACTCATGCTTCAAACATTGATAAACAGCATCTTGTGTGTGTAGTGCTCATAAGATTTGTGTAAATTTAGCAAAAACTGCTGTTTTCTCTTTAAACAAAACACGCCCTGATGCTCACGTCAAGCATAAAAAATAGGAGCATGCATAATGCGTAGGACCACTGACATCAGACCAATTCAACTTAAGACTAGTAGTGTCAAAAGTACACACATTTGTTACTTAAGCATAGATACTGCAGTTTAAAAACACTCTGGTCAACTTTCCCTCTTTACTCAAGTGAAAGTGAAAAACTATGTGCTCCAAACTACTTAAAGTGTAAAGATATAAAGTAACCTTAAAAAAAAAAACAGCCAGATGCCACTACATGAATTGAAAGCTCAATTTTTCGACTATTTCGAAAAATTCTTTGAGATAGAGGCAAGGATGAGGGTCGGTCTCCGTCTCCCAATACGCTCTCGCCTATGTCCGACCTTCCAGACATTTCAACATCTTTTTCTAAATCCAACATTTGCAGCATGGCATAGACAATTCATGTTTGCAGTTTGAAGAACACCTGCTTGTTTCTGATGATTTCCTTCAGCTAACCAATGAGTGTTTGCTTTATATGACTCATCCAATTACACTAGTTTTCACTAGATGTGGATGGCGCCAATAATCTGCATTGGATGGCACACATGACGTAAAATAAATATAGGCATAAAACCAAAGCCAAGAGTAACGAATAACCTTTGTTTAAAAATGCAAGGAATAGAAAGTACAGATACTTGTGTGAAAATGTAATAAGTAGAAGTCAGAAGTAGGAAGAAAAATAAGTAATGGGGTAAAGTATAGATACCTAAAAAGTGTACTTAAGTACAGTAACAAAGTATTTGTACTTGAGACCTATAGTGTCCCTATCAAAGTTGAGATCAAACCTTTGCCCTTGAGCATGGTGATGGCTGCATCATGTGATGGGTCTGTGATATTCTCTTAGAATGGTTGGAAATTAGGCAGATGTTGTCTACCACGGCTTAAGATTCAACTATTTTATTATCAACAGTTTGACTAACTGCTGTCAGGCAATATTAAGAGAAATCCAAGCGATGACTAAAACGGCCTACACTTCCCATGATGCTTTGCGAGTCATCTTTCGCCACTCCTCCTCCCACCCGGCGTTCCTGTCCACAGCCTTTACAGCTGGCGGAGGAGCTGCACTGAACTGAGGAGCCCCGCGTCTCTACCGTCCTCCTGAAATGCGCTCAAACTGCGCAACGAGTCGCATCTCCAGCTGCGGCCTCCGCAAACACAGAAACAGCGCTTGTGTTTCTCAGCCCCTCCAGACGTAGCACCTTCAGGGGGGAGCGGAGTGAAGGAAACCCAGACACTTTGGACTGAGTCAGCCGCGGAACGCTCATCGCTCCTCGGTCTCTAGGAGAGCGCTCCACCTCTCCAAGCCTTTGCATGTGAGTGCGTAAAAGTTGTTTTTGTTATATGTGTGAGCAGATGGCTGGAAAAGTTGTGCGGCAGGCAGTGAAGGAGGGAGGGAGGGGGTGACTGCGGCAGCCTCGGTGGTCGCGCTGAAAGCAGATTAGGAGAAACTTGTTGCCATCTTCACAAGCTTCTCAAGTCTGTTTCCAGCAGGATCACTGCTGCATTACCCTCAAACAGCACCACTATGAGATTTTTTAATTAATTTCATCTGCTGCTGGTGATAATAAACCATTTTTCTGCTTTAACTGTCATTTATGACCGTCTCTAATGGGTTTGGCTCGTTTTGCAGAACAAATATAGGAAACTGTCGCATCTCTTATTGATTCATAAGTAGGGTATGAACATGTTTAACTATGCAAATCAACTTCCCCCAATTTTCTTTTTAACTTTATCATGTTTTTACAGCTTTTCACACACGGGCACAGCAAACATGTGTTTTAAATGGAGGGCGGTGGTTATTTGTCTGTGCATGAATGTATAATAATATAATAAACATGTCAGCAATATGGTCTAAAAGATTAGGTTGTGTTGCTTTAAAAGTGCAGATTCTAACATAGTGTATGCCATTAATAGGAACATTTCTGAACAGATACAAATTTGAATAAAATAGCTATGAAACCTTTAGCAAATGAGAGATTGAGTTTTTTTATTGGTTGGAACAAATAAAGGTCAAATGACTTATGGGTGATTTTTGTGAGGCAATGGCTCAATCAGCCTAGTGTTTAATTGAAATAAAAATATAATATAATTATTACAAGAATTGTTTCCAATTTTTTAAGGAATTTGATCAATCTTGATCAAACCATCTCAGATTTAAATCATCAACTCTGAATTGATCTATCCTAGGGTTGGAGATTCTGGAT